CCGCGGTCTTTCGGGCCCCGCGCAGGGCCAGGAAGTACCCCCTGGTGCTCTGGGGTGCGGCTCGCCACTGAACTGCCCACTGGCTCCATTTTTTTCAAGAGCGACTTGATAAATTAGTAAATGCTCCAAACTAGCGCTCTCGTTTGTAAGCTATTCCCAGTGAGGCATCGCTTTTGACCCTCCGCTGTGCCTTCTACGCCTGTCAGCTGTGCTTGGACCCGAGATAGACGCTTAGAGAACTTCATAGAATTGAACTGAACAGGGTCATAAGCCAGCGCGAATTGGAGCGGGGCACTGAGGCGAAGGGAGCGTGGGGAGGCCTTGGGGAAGCTTACTAAAATTAAAATGTTAGGATATAATTATTAAACCACACATGCCGTATCCTTAGTCTCCTCGCTACCAAGGACAAGGATCCAGCTCAGTTACCCTCTGGTCGGAGGTGCCTGTCTGTTCAGTCGGTTCTCAGAATTGGGCCCAGTTTGGAATTCTTAATTCTGTTCCTTGTAGCCTACTGGGCCCTTATAAGTGCTACTTTCAAGACTTGTCCTTGAGACAACAAGAACTGACAACAGAAATCATACTATTTCAGGGGTTGCTGACATTTGAGGATGTGGCTGTGTTTTTTACCCAGGAGGAGTGGGATTATCTGGATCCGGCTCAGAGAAGCTTGTATAAAGATGTGATGATGGAGAATTATGGAAACCTGGTCTCACTGGGTAAGAATCGGCTGTTTCTCTGATTAAAAATATCTAAGAGGCTGTTAGAAATGAGACTGAGAACACTTGGACCAGTCCCAGTACCAAAACTGCTTTGTTCCAAACTTCTGATTCAAACCTTTCAGCCATTAATTGTTTACATGACTCTCACTCCTTGCATCCTTGCAGTGACCAAAATACAAGCCTTTCTGGCTTCCTATCTTCATAATCTCATTCCCATATTGCTCTGTACTTTCCCTCCTGGCTCATCCTCCCACTGCTTTCCTCCCACCCCTTTCACTCTGCCTTCTGGAGCTCCTGTGCCACTTCACATAGTGTTCCTTACCCCTCCTGGCCTTAACTGAAACCTGGCACTTTCCCAAGGACACCACTTCCCTGGGAGGAGCTGCTGATTCTTCCACATCCTCCTTCTTCCACATCCTTTGTCTCAGGGCTGGCAGGGAGAAGTTACTGGTCTCCCAGCTTTTCAGTGCTCTTCCCAAAGCATTCGTTTTCCAACTTCAAACACAGTGTCTCCCCTTGGAGGCCCCAGCAATTCCTTTTCACTATCATACATCAACTGTTTTTGGACCCTCACACATAGACTTCGTCACATGTTTCAGTCCTCTGTGCTAACTCACACCATCAATGATACAGTCATTACTTAAGCCTCGGCATATCTTGACCATATTGTCTTCAGGGACCCCACTTTCCCTTTTTATTCAGCAACTCACACCAATGATCATACCCTCAATTTTGTCATAATAGGTAAAAACTTAAACCCCAATATCTTATTCTTTGACCAAGTATTGAGGCATTTATTAACGGTAACTCAGTAGGGGTTATCAAAACGGACATAATCTCAAGTGGAGCTTCCTATAATTTCTTACCTTTCTTCCTCTCCTCCTCCTTTCCTAGTAAACTTCATTCTTAATGATGGTACCTGTTTCTTGAGTTCTCCGTTTTTTTGTTTTTTTCTTCCCACTGCCTTTGCCTCATTTAATCCATGGATCTATATATGAACTGTCACCAGCATGCTCTCGAGCCACCTTGTCATTATTCTCTACCCATTCTGCAAGCTTCAAATCCTGTATTGGTTATAAAATATGCCTTTTCTTCTCTCCTTCCTGAGTTGCTAAACACAGCCGGAGAAATTCTGTAATGGGAAGGATTGATGCCTTGTATATATGCACGGCTTTCTTCTAGTCTTCACTGGGTTTTTACATCTCAACAAGTTTTTATCTTTGATTTGCTCATTCCCCTGTTTCTTTCCGTGACTGTTCAAAAACCAGGGGTTTTCCTTGGGTCCATCATTCCCCTTCTGTTTCACAGAGAAGACAGAGGCCACTAAACATGAATTCAACTTTTCTGCCCCTCATCTGCACACTTAAGGCTGCCCCTATCTTCTTACTTCTCCAAGTACTTAGACATCAGTCATCCTTTGCTTTTTTTTTCCCCCCCTTACAGTTTCAGTCTCTTTTCCTTCTCCTCTGATGTCTTTATTCTGATGATAGGTATGTTCATGGCTCTTGCAACTGGGGAAAGGAGGAAAAAGAAAAAAACTGTCCTTAGAGCCAGTCTCCTTCTTGCTGCTCCCTGTAATCTGCTATTCGTTCTCTTCACAGCCAAGTTTTTCTGCGTTTAGTTAATGTGTTCTGTACTTTTTTCTCTAAACCCCTTTTCTTGCCTGTACTACTCCCCCTTACCTGTGTAACTTTGGTCTATAGTAGCTCAGTTGTCCAATGCAAAATACTCTCTTTGGACCTCATTTTATTCCACCTCTCTATACATTTTTGAAACTCTATTGCTTCCTTCCATTGCCTTGCATTCTCAGACTTCCTCTCAGTCTATATACTTTTCCTTGGCGGACCTTATCTACACTTGCGCCATCAGTTACCCCCATGTTATGGTAAGTTCCAAATCTTTATCTCCACCTAAGAGAGGCAGTATGGAACCTAACTGTGTAAGTAAAAATTCTGGGGGTTCCACCACTTACTAGCCTTATAACCATGTGTGCCTCAGTTTCTTTTTTTATAAAATGGGAATGGTAATAGCACTTCATAGGATTATTGTGAGCATTACCTAGTTAATTTATATAAAACACTTAGGACACTGGCATGTATTAAGTACAATATAAATGTTGATTGCTATCATCACTATCATTGTCATTATCTGCTTTGTTGAGCTCCAAATTTCTAGTCATCTCCTTTTGAAGACCTCACAAGACACCTGGCAAATCTCAGATAATCCATTAAGATCTCAAGGGCCTCTTGAGAACTAAGCACTCCTTCCTCTGCTGCCTTCTATACACTTACATTGTTGAATTTGTCACACTTTCCTATAATCATTCTTTATGTTATTTCTTTAACTAGATTAATCTCCATGAGACAAAAGCTATTTTTTTCATTTGATTTCTCCAGCACTTAGGACAGAACCAGGCATATATTATATGCTTTTTAAATATTTATGTGCCTGAATGAATATACTTAAGACTCACAACTTGACTAGATTATTACATTAGCCCCCTGCCTCTAATGTCCCTTTGTTTTAATATGTTCTCTTTCTTGCCACCAAAGTGATTTTGTGTTAATTAATTGCTTACAACATCTGGCAATTACTGATACCTTAAAGATAAAAATCTTGATTTTTTTTTTTTTTTTTTTTTTTT